CGCATCCCTCTGTGTCGCTCCCGTACCGCCCCGGGACCGGCAACCAGTTCGCCACCCTCAGTGTTGCTCCCGTGCCTCGCTCAGCCAGTGAGCGGGAACCGGTCTGTATGTGGGATCCGAACCCTCGGCGGGAGCACCGCCGCACTTCCCAAGCAGCGCACTAGCGCAGTGCGCCACCAGGCCGGCCCTGTTCTTTTTCTTGCTGGGCAGTATTACATTGTATAAATATACCTCAATCTATTGACTCATTCTCCCGTTGAAGGGCATTTGGGTTGTTTCCTGCTTGGGGCTGTTGGGAGTAAAGCTATTATAAACATTCTTGAAAAGTCTCTTTGTGGATATATGTTTTCATTGCACTTGGACAAATACCTAAGAGTAGAATTACTGGGTTACACTCACATAGTAGATGTATGCTTAACTTGATAAGAAACTACAAAGAGAAATGGTTGTACTGTTTTGCACTCCCACCACAACTTATGATAATTACAGTTGTTCCACATCCTTGCCAACATTTGGCTTTTCGGTCTTTCTAATGTGAGCCACTCTAAGGGGAGTGAAACAGCATCTCGTGATTTTAATTTGCATTTCCCTGATGTCTCAGAACGTTGAGCACCTTTTCATGAGCTTACAGACTACTGTTTTATCCTCTTTTGTGAAGTGTCTGCACTAGTCTTTTGCATATTTTAATAGTTGGGTTGTTGGTTTTTGTTATTGACTCAGTTTTGTCATGTATTCTAAATACAAGTCCTTTGTCAGACATATGTATTGCAAACATTTTCTGTTGATTTGTGACTTGGCATTTTCATTTTCTCACAGATGTCTTTTAAAGAGCAGAAGTTTAAATTTCTATTAAGTTCAGTTAATCAACTTCTTTCTTTTATGTTTAGTGCTTTTTATATTTTCTCTAAGAAATAATTGCCTACACTAAAGTCATGATGATATTCTCCGTGCTTTCTTCTGGAACCATGCCCTACAATACAATAGCCACTACCTATATGTGGCTATTTAAATTTAAATGAATTAAGTGAAATTCAAAATTTAGTTTCAAGGTCATCTTACCCAAATGACAAGTACTCAGTAATCACATGTGGCCATGTGGCCTAATTGGACAGCACAGAAAACATTCCCATCATCATAGAAAGTTCTATAAGACAGTGTGATTCCAGGTTTCACTGTGGGAATATTTTTCCCTCATATTTATCCAGCTGCTCCAGCACCACTGTTAAAACAGACTTCCCTTTCAATTGACCTTACACAAAAATCACTGTATTTCTATATACTAGTAGTAATAAACAGTAAGAAAATGAAAAAAAAAAAAACCCTCCCTTCACAATAACGTTTTAAAAATAGAATACTTAGGAATAAATTCATAGGAACAAAACATGTTGAAGACTTGTACTCGGGGGTAGCAGAGAATCAAGACAGCAGAATATACGGTTGCCAGGGTCAGCCTCTCCCACAATCAACCAATTTACAACTATTAAAAAGCAATGACTGCCAAGCTGGGGCTGCTAGAGCTCAGGGGAAGAGGAGGAGAGACCTACAGAGTTCATGAAAGCAGAAGCACAACTAGAGAAAGAAAGGACCTCTCTGACTATTTTGAGCC